AAATCTAGACTACAATCAATCTCCAGATGTCATACACAATGCACTAAGTAAAACCTCACTATGATATCTAACAACAAATGAGAACACATAGATGCCCTAAAACCTAAATAGATTGTTGTTTCTGCTTAAATTTATTTCTCCTACCAATGTCCAGTTCATACATTTTAGAATATAATGAACCTGTGATCCCAAGTCGGTGTCTTACAATATCAATGAGCATAAGTCAAAGTGGAAAAGTGGGCTACAGGACCAAAAATAATTCAAATATCACCAAATCTCTTGAACATTTCATAGAACAATAATCATCTTTCTAAAACTACGTTCTAAATTTATTATCTCCACTGCAAATTCCCTCACAACCTTCTCTGAAAAGAGGGGAAGAAAAGGGGAGCAGTAAGTAATCACAAAAGTTTTTAGTATCACTCACATTGTTCTAGAGATATATTCCTGTTTTCAAAGTTTAAACACCTCCAGAAATCCTCGTGTGCACTAGCGGTTCGCCACTGCCTACAAACCATAGCTGCTCGACAGAGATTAACGTGGTCCAAGAAGGAGAAAACCTGAGACAGAGAAGACAGAGGGAGAACAAGATATTAAGTGGGAAAAAAGGGAAAAAAGAAGCTTAATATATGATGAACGATGTATATACCATATGCAACAAGTCATCTGTTAGATCCATTCGAACTTCTAAATCTTCTGGCTTTGGTGAACCATTTTCATCTCCATCCCCTTTACCACCGCTTTTGTCAAAGGGATTACCATCCCCATCATTATTCAACAAGAAATTCTGATAAAACACACCATTATGAGATGATGTAGAGCCTTGACCAAAATCATAGTCTCTATCTGCAGTTGAACTAGAATTTCCAGCATCTGAAGGCATGGTGGTTGCAAATTGACACTCACTGCAAGGAATAGTTTCCACTAAGAATTACTAAAATCATAATAATCACCTTGTGAAACCAATTCCGCATCATTCTGTGCAATGTGCATCATTGATCCTAGTCAGACATGAAAATGACAATACCAAGTTACCCAGATGGCCAATTTTACTAATAACCCTGATAGATGTACTTGAGATCTGGCCAATGTGGTGAACCAGAGTACCTTTAGTAGTGTGGTAGAATATAGGAAGGATTAATTATTTTTTTAAACAGAAATAGCTGGCGTCACCTCAATGCACTTTTACTACATTAAAGACTTAATCCTCCACAGTCACTACAATAAGCACACTCCTGAATTCATCATTTTACATCTTGAACTGGAATATCCTTTTCTCATGCTAAAAAAAAAATTATGACGCATAAAATTAAAAACACTACTGCATTCAAGCTGGTTTAAATTTCATAACATTCATCAGTTCAGCAACCTCCAAGGTTGCCAGGAAATGGACACAACTGTATATATACTTCATGTTCTTGGTAAAATTTCACATAAGCATGCCAATGTCGTGAAGTCCATTGTAACCAGAATATATAAAAACTACCACTTGCAATATCTCTGAAAATGCAACCCGCCAGCAAGTGGACTAATGTATTTCCTCTAAGAAGTCACCTTCACACGCGGAAGCTCTTTCCCTCATCACTATCACTCAATAAAATATTAATCACTAACTAAAGAAAAACGCGGACACACCAAAGAAATGCACAACTTAGCCAAATTTAACATTCCTGGAGAAAAAACCCACCAAAATTCACAAGAAGATTCACAAAGAACCAACATAAATTTATACAAATCCAGGAAAACAAAGAAAAAGTGAGGTAACTCACTGTAACCCGGAGTACACTTTAGCCCGTTTATGGTGCAAATCGTGGTCAGAATCCTCTATGCTGCCATCAACAGTGGCTGCTGAGGCCGAGGTGCTCTCTCCCTCGGCCCGCCGAGAACACCCAACCAAGCGCATCCACGCTGGAGTAACGGCACCCACGTGCGCAGTCTTCTCCCAATTGGGCGCCGCCGTTCATGGCCAGAATCATCTCCTCGAAGAGCCCAACGGGTCTGATTCATCACGGTTTGCGGCTGTCTCCGCCCCGGTTGATGTCCGGTTTCCGGTCGGTGGGGGCCGGTCAAGCGCGAGCCCCAATCGGGTGCCTCTTCTGGGTCTTCATCACACCTCCACGGTGCCCTCTGGGTCGCGACATTTACGAAAATGCTATCCTCTTTCATGGCAGAAACTAGCAGTCTATCCTCCTTTTCGTCGTCTTCGGTGAAGCATAGGCAGCACCAAATCTTCATGCAAGAGCGGGCAACGGGCTGGACTTTTACAAGAACCCTAGGTTCGTGATCTTGTACATTACCACGGAAGAAACCCTAACTGGGAGAGAATTGTAGAAGATGATCTCGAATCTAAGAAAACCGAGTGTTGAAAACCTGAATTAGGGGTAAGAATTACAAACCATTTCTGGAAAATCAAGGAATCAGTACGATCGACACAGACATCTGGCTGTAGAGAGGAAAGAGGGGTTGATTGTATAGAGGGAAAAGTTGGAGGTGTGATTTGAGATGGATCTGATCGAATCTTGTAAACTGGTAGTGAGGATATGTTGTTTTTGTTATTGGGCTTCAAGAAAAAAGAGATCGGCGCTAATGGTGATGCTATAAATCACTATATTCGTACCTTGTGTACAATTAGTTTTTTTCTCTCTTTTTTCATTCATTTTTCCTTTTGTTTATTATTATTATTATTATTATTATTATTTGCATATTTTTGGTGTTTTCTTTGGATATTTCTTTATTTTTATTTTGAAAATTATTATATACATTAGTATATTTATTCTAATACTTTCTTTGTGTATATTCAGTTGCAAAATAGTTTTTATTAAGTAATGTTATTATATATATATTTAAAATTTTTCATAGAAAATGATAAAAAAAAAATAATATATTGAAAATTTTAATATTTTAGGAATGTTTTCTTTGTAATTCTATTTCAATCGAGACAAAAGAATAATTCTTGATGTTTATTTCTAAAATTGCTAACATTGAAATGAGTTGACATGTCACTAGAATTATTTTGGAGCCTATGTTTTATTGGACAAATTATCAAAATATAAGTAACATTTAGACTATGTTTATAATAGAATCAGAATTTTATGAATTGTATTTTATAATTATTATTAAGTTAATTAAAAGTAATAAAATATTATCAAAAATTGATGGATGTAAAATTCATATGGAATTTCATATAAAGTTAACACAATATCAAAATATCCCCTTAGTTATACAAAAATGTGTGAAATTCTCGCTTAAGTAATTTTTTTTATTAAAAATTCTCCATGAACTTTAAAAAAGGTGACAAAATTCATCATATTTTCTAAGTTTTTCTAATGACATTTGGGCTCGTTGACGTAGGATGACATGTGTCAAATCATGTTTTAATCGTTGCTAGCATGGTATCCACATCAACAAACATGTTGACACCACATTAGTTTTTTTTTTTAATCCATTTGCCAAGTACACGTTAGCCCTTTCTCCTTTGTGTCCTTCAGCAAAATAATTCATATCCTCAATATTGTCATCTTCTTCTTATAAAAAGTTAAGAGATCTCTAGAGAAGAGTCTAGTGAAATGAGTTCAAAGACGAGGAAGTTACAAGGGAAGAGCTTGCAAATGATTGAGAATATGGTAGAGCACTCAACAGAGGATATTTTAAGGGCTGAGGCATTGGAGGTGGCAGCATAATGAAGGAGTGTGGTGGTGATAGATGGAGGAAAGACGATGGATAGTGAGGAAGGGAAGAAGGTGGAGATGGATTACTCTTTTTTTTTGTTTTAAATTTAGTGAAAATAGACCTATCATGTTATTAAAGAAAGTAAAGTAAGGATAGAGATTAACTAGTAATGATGAGTGGTTGTTTTTATCAGGAAGCAAATGAGGGGGTTAATAATCATCGAAAAATCATTCTTAAACAACCCCTTTGACAGTGGGACAGAGACGAAGAGGGTTTCATTGTCGCTTGTGAAGAGACTTTGATTTGGTTAGTGAGGCTAACATTTATAAATGTTTGCTAAATGTTCTCCATTGCATGAGCGAAGAATTATGTAGAGAAGTCAGAAGATTGGAGTTCACCACCGATTGCATTCTAACATAAATAGACATCAGGGAAGTTTTTGACATTGGTTTGAATCCAATCATCAATGATGGCTTAACTAGAGTCGATTTATTGAAGACTTAGGTTAGAGAGATTGAGCATGATTTTGATGTTAAAACCCGCTAGAGCTTGGAGGATTCCATAGTCGAGATCATAATTTCTCATTCAGAGAATATTCTTAGTTGTAGAGGCTGATGGAGTTTTATGAAAGAGGGAAGCTTGCATGAAGAAAATAAGCATGCATTATTAGTAAGAGCAAGCATGTGTTCATTTCTTGTTTTAGGATATAGAGGAAGATAAGAGATTTTGTGAAGAGGATGATGGCCATGGTAAAGGGGGGTTCGGAGTAGGTAAAAAATAAGAAAAAAATGTTGACGTGGGTAATGATGTGGTTGTAAACATGGACGCCACACCATCAAATTCAAAACTCATATTTACATAGCTTATCATGTCACATGATAGATCAATAAGCTCAAATAGCGTTAAAGAAAATTATGAAAATGGAGATTTTTGTTTCATTCTTAAAAGTTTATAGGGAACTTTGAACAAAAAAATATTTCCTAGATAATTTTGAATATTTTTATATAATTCATAAGATACTTTAATATTTTAGCCCATTTTAAAATTTCAAAAATTTTAATTTTTGATATCAAA